TAAACCCTACCTATGGCTCCTCACTATGCTTATGATTTTCACATGCTATCAGAGCATCTACGCTCCTGGCCTATGGGCCCACCTAACTGCTTCCGCTGCTACTCTGTGTGTTGCACGCCCCGTGGCATGCGACGGATTTTTCTTCCCGCCGCGCGCTCAGAGCGTGCGGCGGGTTTCTGCCCACCGTGCGCCCCGAGAGGCGCGTCGGTTTTCTGCCCGCCGTGCGCCCCGGGGCGTGCGGCGGTTCTCTGCCCGCCGTGCGCCATGAGGCGCGCGGCGGCCTTCTACCTCGTCGGTCCGCGCGTCGCCCCCGGTGGGCGCTTCGATGGGGCGACGGGGACCAGCCCGTCATCCCCCGTCGCCCGTCCCGGCCAGCGCGGGCTGCGCTAGCCCCAAGCGCAGCCCGTACAGGCTGCGCCCGGCCCGCGCGCGGCCCGTACGGGATGCGCCAGGCCCGCGCGCGGCTCGGGCCGCCTACGCGCGGTTCGTCGGGCTGTGCCAGGCCCGTGGGCGGCCCGTTCCTCTCTGCCCCTGAGCTGCTCGCTGTCCCCCATGCTTCTGACGGTGCCCCACCCCTGCTGCTGCCCGTTCTCCTGAATTAGGGTTTGGGGGTGGGGGGTATGGGGGTGCAGTTTCTGTGCGCTGTTCCACTACTTCTCCTCCTCCTCCGTCTCCCGCTGTTGCAGCTGCCGCTCAGGGGGGTGGGTGTGTGGGAGCCGAAGGAGTGGTGCTAGGGGGGTGACGTGGGAGTGGAGTTAGGGGTTCAGCAGGGGGTGTGTGTCAAGGGTGTGGGTCAGTTGGAGAAGGTTGTGTGGAGGTAGCTGTCGTGTCGCCTGCAGCACCTGTAGTTCGTCGCCCTTGCTTCGGTAGCCAGCGAGCCGGTTGCACCAGTCGTGAGTGGGTCCGTTGCTCCTGCCGCTCGTCTTAGCCGCGGAGCCAGTCACTCCAGTAGTCCGTCGCCCTTGCTTCGGTAGCCACTGAGTCAGCCGCTCGTGTGCCCGTGCCTCTGCAGCTTCAGTCGTTGCCTCCCATCTTCTCTCCTTCCACAGTTCCTCCTCCTCCTCACTTGCCCTCTGTGATAGCCTCTAGCTTTGCTTGCATTTGTGAACCTGCTCTATGACTACGTGCTCTGCTGATTACACCCTACTTTGGCTATGGGGGTGTGTCAGAATGTTATTATCTAGCCTGTAGTGGGGTGCTCTATGGCGAGTACAACCCTGTTAGGGTTTGCTATATGTATCCCAACTACTACTAGTGAACCTCTCCTTTGTTCATTTCTCTCTTGCCTAGCTAGCTAAACCCTAGCTATGGCTCCTCACTATGCTTATGATTCTCACACTACATACTCTTTGTGAAGAAATGAGGAATGATGGAAGGGAGTTTCACTAGCAAGCAGTTCAGTACATATAGCAAACCCTAAATTGGGCTGTACTCACTATTGAGTACCCCACTGCAGGCTAGACAAACATAGCATTTTGACACACCCCCATAGCCAAAGTGGGGTGTAATAAGCACAACAAGCAAGCAAAACACAAGCTCAGGGTGGATCACAATGTCACCACACAATCTGAGCACAAGTACAAGAAGCAACAGTTTAAAGTTCACAAATGTAAGCAAAGCTAGAGGCTATCACCGAGGGCAAGTGTGGAGGAGGAGGGACTATGAGAGGAGAGGAGGTAGTGGGCGGCAGCTGAAGCTGCTGGCACACGGCGCAACTGGAGCAACTGGCACACGGGCAACTGGAGCAACTGGCACACTGGCTACTGGATCAACTGGCTCACGGGTTACTGGAGTAACTGGCTCCGCGGCTAACTTTGAGCGGCAAGAGCAACGTACTCACGGGCGACTGGAGCAACGGGCTCACGGGCGACTGGCGCAACGGGCTCACGGGCGACTGGCGCAACGGTCTCACGGGCGACTGGAGATGCTGGCTTCACGGCGGCCACCCCCTTCAACCTCCCCAAACTATCCCACCCCATTTCACACACCCCCTACTGCACCCCTAGGTTCACTCACACCCCACACCCTAGCACCACTCCGTCGACTCCCACACACCCACCCCCCTCAGCGGTAGCTGCAGCAGTGGGAGACAGAGGAGGAGGAAGAGCAGGGGAGACCACACACCCGCCACCCCCAAACCCTAACACAGGGCAGGGCCGGGCGACGGGTAGGGAGGTTACGGGGGGGGGGGGGGGGGGACGCGCGGCCTCCCAGGGCGCCAAAACAGGCGGCAGAAGGGGCGACGCTCGCACGGGTCCCCGGTGCGCCGTGACAGGCGACGGAGCATGGCCGGGGCGGGGCCGGGGCAGGGTCGGGGCAGGGCCGGGGCAGGGCCTCGACAGGGCCGCGGCGGGCGACGGGGCAGGGCCGCGACGGGGGGCCGCGACGAGGCCGCAAAGGGGGGCCGCAAGGGGCCTCGAAAGGGCGGCGACGGGGCTGCTAGGGGCCGCAAGGGGCCTAGAAGGGCGGCGACGGGGGGCCGCGATAGAAGGGCCGCGACGGGGGGCTGCGACAGGGCGACGGGGCAGGGCCGGGCGACGGAGCAGGGCCGGGGCGAGGCCGTGACGGGGCCGCGAAGGGGCCACGAAGGGGCCACGAAGGGCCGCAACGGGCAGCAGGGCAGAGTGCGAAATGCGCTAAGGGCAGGGCAGAAAAAAAATTTAGCGAAGTGGTGGGCCCTAGGAAGGAACAGTCCCAGGAGGGAACCAGCTCTATACCATGTGAAGAAATGAGGAATGATGGAAGGGAGTTTCACTAGCAAGCAGTTGAGTACATATAGCAAACCCTAAATTGGGCTGTACTCACTATTGAGTACCCCACTGCAGGCTAGACAAACATAACATTCTGACACTCTCATTATTGCTTCAGTCATTTTGTCGTTCTTTGTTGCATGTTTTCTGTCTTTCTTTTCTGTGCCCCCATCCCTATTATCGTCTCCTGTTTTCATCTGTTATCTACTACAATGTTCCCCCTGTTATATGCCTACTCATTTTCATACTCCTGTGGACTTTGTATACTAACTTTTGTTTACTTCTTTCTTGGAACGTATCACTTGCTTTCTGAATTTATGCCTTCATTTGTATCGTGACATTTCAACATCTAGATATTGGTATACGACGTCGTTTAGGTCGTGTTGTCATAAGAGTAAGCACAGTGAGGAGCCATAGCTAGGGTTTAGCTAGCTAGGCAAGAGAGAAATGAACAAAGGAGAGGAGTTCACTAGTAAGCAGGGCAGTACATATAGCAAACCCTAATTTGGGTTGTACTCACTATAGAGTACCGCACTGCAGACTAGACAATGATAACATTCTGAGACACCCCCATAGTCAAAGTGGGGTATAATCAGCACAGCAAGCAGTCATAGAGCAGATTCACAAGGACAAGCATAGCTAGAGGCAGTTGCAGAGGGCAAGTGAGGAGGAGGAGTGACTGTGAGAGGAGAGGGGATGGGAGGCGACGGTGGAAGCTGCAGACACACTGGAGCGACTGGCTCAGTGGCTACCAAAGCAATGGCCTGGACTACAGGAGTAACCGGCTCCGCGGAGATTGTAGCCTCCTGACTGGAGAAACTTGTCAGAACATTATAGCTTATGCTTTTGTGTAGGTTGTAGTGGGGTAGCCCATATGGGGTACAACCCAATTAGGGTTAGTACTTGTACCCAACTGTTTCATAGTTCATTCATTCTCGTTCTCATTATCTTATGGTATCGAGCAGGTTCCCCTGTGGGAACTGTGCCTAGGGCCCACCAAATTTCGAATTTTTTTTCCTGCCCGAAGCGCGCTCCGCCCGAGTCGCGCTCTCACCTCGTCGAGCCGCCCTAGCGGCCCCTATGCCCTAGCGGCCCTCCCTACCTTAGCGGCCCCGTCGCCCGTTCGTGCGGCCCCACCACCTACTAGCGTGGCCCCGCCGCCCTACGTCGCGACCCCGCCGCCCTACGTCGCGACCCCGCCGCCCTAACTGCGGCGTCGCCGCCCTACTCCTGCGGCCCCGCCGCCCTACTTCGCGGCCCCGCCGCTCTACGTCGCGGCCCCGCCGCCCTGTTCAGCGGCCCCGCCGCCCCACTTCGCGGCCCCGCAGCCCCACTTCGCGGCCTCGCCGCCCTGCTTCAGCGGCCCCGCCGCCCGTCTGCTGCGGCCCCGCCGCCCCACTTCGCGGCCCCGCCGCCCTTCTTCAGCGGCCCCGCCGACCGTCTGCTGCGGCCCCGCCGCCCCACTTCGCGGCCCCGCCGCCCCACTTCGCGGCCCCGCCGCCCTACTTCAACGGGCCCCGCCGCCCTACTTCAGCGGCCCCGCCGCCCTACGTCTGCGGTCCCGCCGCCCGTCTGCTGCGGCCCCGCCACCCTACACCTGCGGCCCCGCCGCCCTACTTCAAGGGCCCCGCCGCCCTACTTCAAGGGCCCCGCCGCCCTACTTCACCGGCCCCGCCGCCCTACGTCAACGGGTCCCGCCACCCGTCTGCTGCGGCCCCGCTGCTCTCCCCTCCTGCAGCAACGCGCCCGAGCCGCAGACCGCCGCGCTGCCCTGTACCAGAGGAGCCGAGCCGCCCTGCCGCCGAGCCGCCCGGCCGCCCACCAGCCGAGCCGCCGTGCAGCCGAACCGCCCAGCCACCGAGCCGCCGAGCAGCCGAGCCGCCCAGCAGCCGAGCCGCCCCGCAGCCGAGCCGCTGAGCCGCCCAGCAGCCGAGCCGCCCAGCCGCCGAGCCGCCCTACAGTTGAGCCGCCCGAGCAGCCCTGTCCGGTGAGCACAGCCTCTCTGTCACTGCGTGCCCTTCCCCTACTGCTTGCACTGCTAGTCTACCGTCGTCATGGCTACCCCTAGTGTCCTCGATTTTGACGCTGAGGGTCGAGCCATTGACTTTGAGGTCTGGGTCGACGACCTGCAGCTGTTCTTACAGTGCGATAGGGCGGACGGTTTTTCTCTCTTTGACCTCACCTCTGGCGCCTCTCCTGCCCCTGCTGCTGATGCTGACCCCACTGTTCGCTCTCAGTGGGCCACCCGCGATGCTGCTGCACGTCTTGCTGTGAGTCGCCACCTGCCTACCACTGAGCGCGCGCACTTTAGTCAGTACAAGAGTGCTCAGACCTTGTACGACGCTGTAGTTGCGCGCTACTCTTCCCCTGCCACTGCTGCACTGAGCCGCCTCATGCTACCGTACCTCTTCCCTGACCTTGCTGCATTTCCCACAGTTGCTGACCTCATTACGCACCTCCGCACTAGTGACACTCGCTACCGCGCCGCGCTGCCTGCTGAGTTCTGCGCCAAGAACCCCCCCCCTATGTACATCACTCTCTATTACATAGTCACCCGCCTCCCTGACTCCCTTCGCGTAGTCAGGGACCACTTTCTCTCAGTCTGTCCCACCACTCTCACTGTTGACCTCCTAGAGAAGGCCCTCCTAGCAGCGGAGAAGAGCATAGTCGCTGTAGGAGCCTCTCGTGGTGACCCTCGCACCCCCATCTTTGAGGGGTGTTCCCCTTCCCCCCTGTTGCCCTCTGTCGCCTCTGTTGCTGCGGCCGACCTACTTGGTCTTGAGTCGGTTGGTGCGGCGTCTGCCCCTAGCGGGAGACGCCGCACCAGCAAGGGCAAGGGGGGCAAGGGCGCGGGTGGAGCTAGCGGGGGTGGTGGAGGTGGCGGTGGAGGCGGCGGAGGGAGTGGGGGTGGCGGTGGGAGTGGTGCCGGGGGTGGAGGTGGCGGTGGCAGCGGCGGAGGCGGAGGCGGCGGTAGCGGTAGCGGTGGTAGCGGAGGCGGCGGTGGCGGCGGAGGTGGAGGCGGCGGTGGTGGAGGAGGTGGAGCTGGTCGAGGTGGTACTTCTCACCGGAGCGGCTCCAGGAGTGGTCAGCGCCAGCAGTAGCAGCAGCGTTCTCGGGACATCCCCCCTCCTCAGCAGCTCCGTGAGTGGTACACGCAGCGTCAGCGTGGTGGGGGTTTGGGCCCGTGCACCTACGTCCTCCGCTCCGGCGACCGCACGGGTGAGCAGTGTGGGGGTGCTCACCCCACCCAGCGCTGCTTTGGCCGCCTGACGGACGCTTGGCGTCAGCAGTTCCCGGAGGCTAGTGAGATCCCCCGCTGGGGAGAGCTCTCTAGGGCAAGCGTAGCTATCTTTGATCTTGACTTTGATGCTATCCTTACTGCCATGTATGCTGTGACTGTTAGTGATGAGGGTGACTGTTACCGGTGTTTCCCGCCCGACCCGGGCATTGGTACTGCTGCTCTAGGTACTAGTGAGGCTGCTGCTCTAGGTGCCAGTGCGTCCGCGCCCTCAGGTGCTGGTGAGTCTGCGCTCTCAGGTACCACGTCGGCTTCGGCCTCCCTCACCTTCACACTTGACTCAGGGGCTTCTCGCTCCTTCTTTCGAGACCGCACCACACTCACGCCGCTTGGTCGGCCAGTTGCAGTCTCCCTGGCAGACCCCTCTTGGGGTCCTGTCCTCTCTCACTTCTCCACTGTCCTCCCGTGTCCGGCTGCCCCCTTTGGCACCTTGTCTGGTCTTTACCTCCCCTCGTTCTCTACAAACTTGGTGAGTGGTGCTGACCTGCAGGATACGGGGGTTCACCAGTTCACTCCTGCGAGTCAGCGGGTGACCCACTACACGGACGCTCGGACAGGCCGACACCTGGCCACATTTACACGTCGGCCGGGGTCGAGCCTGTACACACTGACCAGTGAATCACCTCCAGTCACTGCGTCTGGTCAGGTAGCTGCGTCGGGTCAGATATTTGCTGCAGCGTCCAGGTCTGGTCCTGAGTCTGCCCCCTGCTCGTGTCGCCACCTGTCTCACGAGACTCTCCTCTGGCACCACCGTCTTGGTCACCCCTCCCTGCCTCGTCTCCGAGGCATGGCTTCCTGTGTCCTTGTCTCTGGTCTTCCCCGGTCCCTCCCTCCCCTTCCTCCGAGGCCTGGTCCTTCCTGTGTCCCCTGTGTCGAGGGGCGGCTCCGAGCTGCCCCTCACTCCTCTCAGTTTCCCCCGAAAGAGGCCCCGCTGCAGACGCTTCACATGGACGTGTGGGGCCCGGCCCGCGTCCGTGGACAGGGTCACGAGCGCTACTTCCTTCTGGTGGTTGACGACTACTCGCGTTACACCACAGTCTTCCCCTTGCGCAGCAAGGGTGATGTCGCTGAGGTGTTGATCGACTGGATCCGTGCAGCTCGTCTCCAGCTCAGGAGAAGCTTCGGCTCGGACTTTCCTGTTCTGCGTCTGCACTCTGACCGAGGCGGAGAGTTCTCCTCTGGCCTTCTGCGAGCCTACTGTCGTGCGCGAGGCATCCGCTAGACCTTCACGCTTCCGGACTCTCCGCAGCAAAATGGGATTGCTGAGCGCCGCATTGGCATGGTCATGGACGTCGCTCGTACGTCTATGATGCATGCGGCTGCCCCCCATTTTCTGTGGCTGTTTGCGGTTCGGTACGCGGCGCATCAGATCAACCTTCACCCCAGGGTCTCCAGACCGGAGACCTCCCCAGCCTTGCTGTGGACGGGGAGGGTCGGCGATGCGTCTATGTTCCGTGTCTGGGGATCTCGGGCGTTTGTCTGCGGACAAGCTGTCCCCTCGTGCTGCTCCCTGTGTCTTCCTTGGCTTCCCCCCTGACGCCCATGGGTGGCAATTCTACCACCCCACCTCTCGTCGTGTTCTGTCCTCCCAGGACGTCACGTTCGACGAGTCAGTACCCTACTACCGCCTCTTCCTCTACCGCACTCCTTCCCTCCCCCCGCCACCGCACTTCCTTGTGCCAGGTCCCCCCCCGGTAGACCCCCTCCCCCTCAGGGTCCTGCCCCTTCAGGTGTGTCCCAGGTAGATGCAGTTGAGCCAGTCGAGGTTGCTGGTGACTCTGGTAGTGCTGCGGGTGCTGAGCCTGGGGGTGCTGACTCTGGGGGTGCTGCGCGCGTGGGTGCTGAGCCTGGAGGTGCTGCCTCTGGGGATGCTGCGACTGGGGGTGCTGAGCCTGGGGGTGCTGAGCCTGGGGGTGCTACGACTTGGGGTGCTGAGCCTGGGGGTGCTACGACTGGGGGTGCTGAGCCTGGGGGTCCTTCGCCTGGGGGTGCTGGGTCTGGAGGTGCTGAGCGTGGGGGTGCTGAGTCTAGAGCTACTGAGCCTGGGGGTGCGGAGCCCGCGGCCGCTGGACCTGCTCGTGTGGCGTCTGGCGGTGCTAGGCCTGCTGGTTCTCCGGGTGCTTCATCTCGGCGGGAGCCACTCTCTCCACAGGAGCTGCGCGAGTGGTTTGCCTGGCGCTGGAGGCGTACTACTGGAGCTGGTGCTTCTTCGGCTGCTGAGGGTGCTGGTACCGCAGGTCTCGGAGGTGCTAGTCCTGCGAGTGCTACTGGAGTCGGAGCTGCTGAGGGTGTTGGCGCGGAGGCTACTGCTAAATGTCCTGGCGGCGGTCCTGCTGCGGGTGCTACTGGTGCTGCTGGAGGTACTGGAGCTGGAGGTGCTGTTGACGCTGGTACTGCCGCTGGGGGTGCTGGTGCTGTCCCAGGTATGCCTGGAGTCGCCGCGCGGCCTCGGCCGTACTTCGATCCGCTCCTTCAGCAGGTTCTTGGTCTTCCTCCTCCCTTACAGTGTCCACCGCCTGTCCAGTCGCAGTCACAGTTACCACCGGTCTCCCCACTGCCTTCTCCTTCTCCGTACACTGGTCCTACTGGAGGTCTTGCTGAGCGTCGTGAGCCTGCGTCTCGTCCTGCGTCGCCTGTTCGTGCTGCTCGCACTGGTGGTCGCAGTTCGCGTCAGCGTCTTCCTCCTGTCCCTGGCACGCACCGGATGTCTCTGCGTCCGTCCACTGCTCCTCTGCATGCCCCCTTGCCCTCTCCTCGTGAGTCCTCTCTTCCTTTACTTGCAGACCCTGAGTCGGACTCTCTTCGTGCTGCCAGTCCTACTGTCACGCGTCTCCTTGCTACTGTCGTCACTCACCCCTCCTTTGAGTCCACTGCTGCGTCTGCTCTTGTTGCTTAGCTCGTCGACTTTGCTGCTCGCTTTCGTCTAGACTACGCCGCGAGTCTTGTTGCTGAATCTGAGTCTGTCCGTCCTCCGTCCGTCGGGGGTGAGTGTGCTCTTGGCACGGACGTCCTTGAGGACAGGCAGGAGGAGTTCCAGTGTCTGGCTGCTGCTTCACCTCATCTCGCTTCCGTACTGCTTACCCCAGAGGGAGACCCGGATGCACTAGACATCCCGACTCCGCGCTCTTACGCGGAGGCTGTAGAGTGTCCCTACTCCTCTCAGTGGCAGGCAGCTACGGATGCAGAGATGGCTTCCTGGAAGTCCACAGGCACCTACGTTGGCGCGGTTCCCCCTCCAGGGGCGAACATCGTCAGTGGCATGTGGATCTTCAGGGTGAAGCGGCCGCCGGGCTCTACACCTGTCTTCAAGGCGCGGTACGTGGCTCGTGGCTTCAGTCAGCGGCAGGGAGTTGACTACTTTCAGACCTTCTCTCCCACCCCGAAGATGACCACTCTTCGGGTGCTGCTACACGTAGCCGCTCAGCGTGACTACGAGCTTCACTCCCTTGACTTCAACACTGCTTTCCTGCAGGGTAGCCTGCACGAGGAGATCTGGTTGCGCCGCCCACCTGGCTTCACTGGGACTTTCCCTCCTCGCACCCAGTGGAGCCTCCGACGGCCAGTATATGGTCTCCGCCAGGCACCGCGCGGGTGGCACGACACACTGAGGACTACACTTGCGGCTCTTGGGTTTGCTCCCTCTACTGCTGACCCGTCGCTGTTTCTACGCACCGACACCTCTCTGCCGCCGTTCTACATCCTCGTGTACGTCGACGACTTGGTCTTTGCCACTGCTGACACTGCTGGACTCGCCCACGTGAAGTCGGAGCTGCAGAAGAGACACACGTGCACAGACCTGGGTGAACTGCGCAGCAACCTTGGCTTGTCGATCACCCAGGACAGAGCACGCCGCACCATTACCCTGATTCAGTCACACATGGTGCAGCAGGTCCTTCAGCGCTTCGGCTTCACGTACTCCTCGCCTCAGGCCACTCCTTTGTCTACTCGCCACTCGCTCTCAGCTCTGCCTTCCGATGAGTCCGTAGAGTCGAGTGGCCCGTACCCAGAGCTTGTTGGCTGCCTCATGTACCTGATGACCTGCACACGACCTGACCTTGCATACCCTCTTAGCATTCTTGCACGCTATGTTGCTCCTGGGAGACACCGACCAGAGCACATGGCTGCAGCGAAGAGGGTGTTGCGCTACTTGTGCAGTACGTCGGGCATGGGGCTAGTGCTTGGAGGGCGGAGTCCAGTGGTCCTCACTGGGCACGCGGACGCTTCTTGGGCAGACGACCAGGCTACGCAGCGGTCGTCACAGGGTTACACCTTCAGCCTTGGTTCCGGCTCTGTTTCGTGGCGGGCTACCCGCTTGTCTTCTGTTCTCGTCTTCCAGTTGTGAGGCTGAGATCTACGCCGGGGCCATGGCTGCACAGGAGCTTCGCTGGCTCACCTACCTGTTGAATGACCTCGAAGAGCCGCCTCGTTCTCCTCCAGTGCTGTACGTAGACAACAAGGCCATGCTGGCCTTGTGTCGAGAGCAGCGCGTGGAGCACAGAACGAAGCACATTGCTCTCCGCTACTTCCTTGCTCGTGAGCTGCAGCAGCGTGGTCAGTTGCGTCTTGCGTACGTGGCCTCTGAGGCCAACACTGCTGATATCTTCACCAAGGCACTTGCGCCTTGTGATCATCAGCGCTTCTGCACTCAGCTTGGTCTTGTGCCTGTCTTGCCTCACTTTCTCACCTCTTGACCTTACTTGTACTGTTACATACATATACACCTGCTCTTACTTGTCTAGCTTTCTATATATATGTACTCTTGCATGTGAACTGGCCTTGTGGCCTTGAACTTGTGCTCGGAATGTGTGGTGACTTTGTGATCCACCCTGAGCTTGCTTTGCTTTGCTTTGCTTGACTGGTCTTGTGACTGCTTGTTCTCCCCCACTTTGCCTATGGGGGTGTGTCAAAACATTATAGCTTATGCTTTTGTCTAGGCTGTAGTGGGGTAGCCCATATGGGGTACAACCCAATTAGGGTTAGTACTTTTACCCAACTGTTTCATAGTTCATTCATTCTCGTTCTCATTTTCTCACAACTGACCCACAGACGACTTGCAACTACCGGAGATTGTAGCCTCCGGACTACTGGCGCTGCTGGCGACATGACTGCTGCCTCCGAACGACTTCCCCCAACTGTCCCACACCCCTTTCACACACCCCCTGCTGAACCCCTAGCTCCACTCCCACGTCACCCCCCTTAAACCCTAAACCCTCGGCTCCCACACACCCACCCCCCTCAGCGGCAGCTGCAGCAGTGGGAGACGGAGGAGGAGGAGGAGTTGCAGGTTACCCACACTGGTCACCCCCATGCCCGCCACCCCGAAACCCTAACGCAGGCAGGAGCGCGGGAAGCAGCAGGGACGGTTCACGGAGGGAAAGGGAGGCAGCGGGGGGTCTCCTGGGTGCCACGAAGGAGCAGGGTGCGGGCCCCCCGAGGGCGCCACGGCTGGTGACGGGAGGGGGGCCGCGCACGGGCCCCCGAGAGCGGCTTGACGGGCGACGGGAGGGGCCGTGCTCGGGCCCCCAAGGCGCCGCGACAAGGCGACGAGAAGGGGGGGGCGCGCGGGCCCCCAAGGTGCCGCGACGAGGCGACGGGAGGGGGTGAACGCGCGGGCCCCCAAGGCGCCGCGACGAGGGGAGGGGAGGGGCCGGCACGCGGGCCCCCACGAGAGCGCCACGACGGGTGACGGGAGGGGGTGGCGCGCTGGCCTCCGGGGCGCCGCGACGAGTGACGGGAGGGGGCAGCGGGCGGGCCCCCTGAAGACGCCGCAACGGGCGACGGGGGGCAGCGCACGGGCCCCCTGAAGGCACCTCGATGGACGGTTAAACCGCCACGCGCTCCGAGCGCGCATCGGGCCGAAAAAGCCGCCACGCGCTCGGAGCACGTGGCGGAAAGAAAATAACATGTCGCGTACCACGGTGTGAAGATCTGGGATCGAGCTCAGAAAAGATGATTCAAATTGAATTGAATTGAATGTCCACCTGGGTACAACACGAGGCTATATATAGGCTCGACACAAGGCCCCGTAACCAGGTGTTACGCGAAGGTTCCGCGGGTCGCGAAGCGTCCCGAACGGATCCTTACCGAATTCGGTAGAAGGCAATTCGGTGGCAACCGAAAAGCCAGAATTCGGTGCACGCAACCTAGCTCGGTGCTATAACTATAATAAAATATAGGAAAGCACCTAGCCTAGGAAATCAAGCAATTCATGCATGCATATAAATATCCTATGCTAGAAATAGCATGATAAAAGTAAAGGCAAGCAAGCATAGCTGGCATAAGCCGTCATACTCTCACACGTCCCCCCCTCAAAGCTGGGTGGCGTGAGATATACCCTGCTTGACAAGATAGTCCTTGAGAGCACGGCGTGCGTTGCCCATATCAGCTTCTGCAACCCAACTATCCTCAGTGGGGTCGTATCCCTTCCAGCGTATCAGGAACTCGAGAGTCTTGCCACCGCGGCACCGATGAGAGAGAACGCGCTCGATCTCGTACTCGGGTTCATCGTGTATGAGAACAGGTGGTGGTGGCGGTAGTTGCCGTCCCTGGAACTGTTGGTTGGGGTCCTTGTAGGGCTTCAGTAGCTAGACATGGAAAGCGTTGTGAAGCTTCCATGTATCTGGTAAGCGCAAGCGGAATGTAACTGGTGTCACCTGTGCCTCAACGAGAAAAGGACCACAGAAGCGAGGCCGGAGTTTGGATGGAAGGTGAGACAGGTTCAAGTTGCGCGTGTCAAGAAGCACCT